GACCAAGATTGGAGTGTATTCTTTAGTGCTTAGGAATAGTTTGGTTTTAGATTTGAACAATTGTTGCTATTCGCCAGAAATGGCTAGAAACATCATTTCATTTCATGGTTTATATAGACAAGGATTTAGATTTTCTTTTAATAATGAGAATGGTTCTATTTTGGCTTATCTAAATGGTGTCTTTTACTTTGAAGCTATACCATGTAATGGAATATATGAAACTGTTATGATTGTTGATAACTTAGGAAATGATGTTTTGAATATTGATTCTTCCACTAGTATGGATAAAGCATCCTTGTGGCATTGTCGTCTTGGACATGTCAACAAGAAACGCATAGCCCAACTCCAAAAGGATGGAGTGTTGGAGTCATTCGACCTTAGGGAAGATGACACATGCGAGTCTTGTTTACTTGGAAAGATGACTAAGTCACCCTTCACGAGTACTTGTGAAAGGGGTGAGGGGCTATTGGACCTAATACATACCGATGTATGTGGACCCTTTAGATCAACCACGAAGGATGGGAACCGCTTCTATGTGACTTTTACCGATGACTATAGTAGATATGGGTATATCTACTTAATCAAGCAAAAGTCAGACACCTTTGAAAAGTTCAAAGAGTTCAAGAATGAAGTGGAGAATCAATTGGGCAGGAAAATCAAGATGCTTCGATCCGATCGAGGAGGAGAGTACCTAAGTCTTGAATTCCACGATTATCTCAAGGAGTGTGGAATAGTTTCGCAATTGACGCCTCCTAGGACACCGCAGTTGAATGGTGTGGCAGAAAGGCGTAATCGAACCTTATTGGATATGGTTCGCTCTATGATGAGTCGTGCTTCACTACCTATCTTCTTTTGGGGGTATGCCTTAGAGACTGCCGCCCATATCCTTAACCGAGTCCCTACTAAGAAGGTTGCCAAAACACCTCACGAGATGTGGACAGGGAAAGCTCCCTCGTTGGCACATATCAAGGTTTGGGGTTGCGAGGCTTTCGTAAGACGAGATACTCACGACAAGCTTGAACCTCGAAGTGAGCGATGTATTTTCATCGGCTACCCGCAAACATCCTTTGGATATCTCTTCTATAGACCGAAAGACAATGTTGTCTTTGTTGCGAGGAGAGGAGTTTTCCGAGAGCGAGAACTCATAAGCCAAGGAGACAGTGGGAGGCAAATCGAACTTGAAGAGATTCAAGAGTCGATAGATGAAGGAACCTCTACCGCTGGCATTCAACCCGAGGAGGAAACTCCGGTTGAACCGATTGACGAATCCTTACCTCTTAGACGTTCCGATAGAGTTAGAGTTCAACCCCAGTTTTATGGTTTTCATATTACTACCGAAGGGGACACGTATATTAGTGATGGTACACTAGTAAATCTTGATGAACCTAATAGCTATAAGGAAGCCATGGCAGGCCCGGAGTCTGCGAAATGGAAAGAGGCAATGGATAGCGAGATCCAATCCATGTACGATAACCAAGTTTGGAATTTGGTTGATTATGTGCCCGAACGTAAGACCGTTGGGTGCAAATGGATCTTCAAAAAGAAGACCGACGTGGATGGGAACGTACACACATATAAGGCGCGATTGGTCGCGAAGGGCTTTACTCAAACTCCCGGAGTTGACTATGATGAGACCTTCTCACCAGTTGCGAAGATTAAATCTATTAGAGTGATGCTAGCAATTGCCGCATTTCATGATTATGAGATTTGGCAAATGGATGTCAAGACCGCTTTCCTTAACGGAAAGTTGGCTGAGGATGTTTACATGGCTCAGCCAGAGGGGTTTGTGGATCCGAAGCATCCGAATAGAGTGTGTAAGCTTGAGAAGTCCATTTATGGACTTAAGCAAGCGTCTCGCAGATGGAATCTTTGCTTCGATGAGAAAGTCAAAGAGTTTGGATTTGTACGAAGCGAAGACGAATCTTGTGTATATGTCAAAGCCAGTGGGAGTATAGTAAGCTTTCTCGTTCTATATGTCGATGACATATTACTCATAGGAAACGACATCCCGACTCTGCAGGAGGTTAAGTCCTGGCTCGGGAAGTGTTTCGCTATGAAGGACCTCGGAGAGGCTTCTTACATTTTGGGAATAAGGATAGTAAGAGAAAGAAGTAAGAGACTAATTGGACTTAGTCAGAATACTTACTTAGAGAAGGTACTAAAACGTTTTAGTATGGAAAACTCAAAGAAGGGAGAACTACCGATACAAGGAAATGCCAAGTTGAGTAAGACTCAAAGTCCGAGTACCGAAGCTGAGATAGCAGAAATGAGCCGAGTACCATACGCTTCCGCAGTTGGCTCAATCATGTACGCTATGACTTGTACTCGCCCTGATGTAGCCTTCGCTTTGAGCATGGTTAGCAGATATCAAGGGAACCCTGGCAAAGCACATTGGATTGCGGTGAAGAACATCCTTAAGTACCTTCGGAGGACGAAAGAATGGTTCTTAGTCCTTGGAGGGAGTGATGACTTGAAGGTGCGAGGGTATAGTGACGCCAGCTTTCAGACCGACAGGGACAACTACGTTCGCAGTCGGGCTGGGTCTTTACCCTAAATGGAGGAGCAGTGACATGGAAAAGTTCCAAGCAGGAAACCGTAGCTGATTCAACGTGCGAATCAGAGTACATCGCAGCGAGCGAAGCGTCGAAGGAGGCAATATGGCTAAAGAACTTCATTGGTGATCTTGGAGTTGTGCCGGCCATAAAGGAGCCCATGGAGATTTTCTGTGATAACGAAGGTGCGGTTGCCTTGACCAAGGAACCGAGGGATCATGGTAGATCTCGACATATCGACAGAAAATATCACTTCATTAGACATCGTGTAGAAGAAGGACAACTCGTAGTGAAGAGGATATCATCAGAAGATAACCCAGCAGATCCGCTTACGAAGGGACTGAGTAGGGTTAAGCACTTGCAGCATGCTAGGAGTATTGGGCTGAAGGATGATATTAGTATAGATTAGATAGTATTAGAAACGTATAATAGATAAATGTAATTAACATTTGATGATTAAATAAAGGAGTTTTATTTATGAGTAAAGTTACTGTCACATGTTAATTGTTTAACTATTGTTTCACTTTGCATGTTTTGACTTCCAGAATAATTGAGTTTATTAGGAATAATCGAATTATTCAAATGGTCCACAATCGTTCATATGTTGGGAGTAGATATGAATGAAGATTGTCATGAATTGGTGTGTAGAATGTCTAAATGGTGTTAGACATAGCAAGGGTTGCTGCAACGTTCATGAGTGCTTATGAACTGGTTTTGAGCATTGGAATAAACCCGCGCTTGCTGGAATCACCTTATGGAATACGATATAAAAGGTGATCGCAAGACGATAATATCATATAGTCTTAAAACCTAGATATATGGTTTATTATTTGTTAATTGATTGTACATTGATAATGCGAAAACGCATCAGTAACTTGGTGTTATAAAACGCATTGTTGTGTATAGTTGGTTAATGAATAAGTAAATGCATATAAGTCGAAGTTTATCTGTAAATTTTATCCTAAGAGGGTAGAAGAGATATCTTGGCCACTCGATGATTTGATTTGACTTATGTGCCGGGCCCGGTCAGAACTGAATTGATGTGTTTGATTAAGTTCTATGTCAAATAAATCGGGATCGAGAAATCAAATGCTTGACTAACCATTCCATAGGATTGTCAGCATGATATCTAACAGAGGACTGTACGATCCCTTATCTAAAGGACAAGATTGATTAGATCAGAGTTGACAGCGTCTTTGAGAGCTACGATTGCAAACCGAATTGTACTTGTATAGTTACTAGACTTATCCAAGTGGGAGACTGTTGGAATAGTGTCTAAGGCTGCAACTATATTAGGCAAGTATTTGATCCGGTTGTGCATGGTCCTTTTGGGTTGCCTTCACCATAGCAACTTGATGGATGATTTGTTAAGAGAGAGTAAATATTATAAGGAATAATATATGGTTATTTGATTAATATAAGTCATAGATTAATTGGAATTAATTTGGTGACTTAAAGAGATTAATTAAATAAAGGGGTATAAACTGTCAATTGTTTGATAGTTAAACTTTAGACTATAAATCCATTGGGATATGCTTTGGACGAATTCTATGAGATATAGGATAGCTAAAATCGTCCAAAGGCTTATCTATGGAATGGATTTGGATAGCCTTAAGAGAAGATTATCCAATTAGGGTTTAGGTTGTAACCCTTAAGGAGTCTACAAGTATAAATAGACCCTAGGGGTGAGGGAATTCGATACACCATCTAAAGTAGAGATACTCTGGCCGAATTCCTCCCCTCTCCTCTCTCCTAAATCATCTTGCTTGCTATTGGTGTTTGTAAGCCATTAGAGGAGTGACATTTGTGACTCTAGAAGCTCCAAGACAACAAGATCAACAAGGAACTCAAACGTATGATTCTAGATCTGTTTCAATGTTGTTATTTAACCTAATTAGCCGTTAGAAGTCTTGGATTCAAAGCATGTTTAATTAGAAAGCCTAGATCCAAGCATTAGGGTTTTGCATGCGCACATAGGAAAGTTCTTATGGCTAAAACCCATCACATATAACTTAATGTTTGAAGTTATTTGTTGTAATCATAATTGATTTTTTTTATTTTTTTCAGTGTATAGAGCATAACATTTAGTTATATGTTTATTTTTACTTCTAATCATAGATGATTTAATACATTTGTTTATAATCATTGGTAACTAGTAATGATAAATGTATTTTTATGTATCAAACATGAATATAAAGTTATTTTTGTAATCATAATTGATTTTGTGGTTCTTTTAAGTGGATTGTATATAAAATTTAGTTTGTATTTTTATTTGTTGTTCTGATCATAAATGATTTTATACGTCTATTTATAATCATTAGTGAATAGTAATGATAAATGTATGTTTTATTTTTTACTAACACTATGTTTGTAATGAAAATTGTAGTTAAAAAGGGAATGTAGATAGCTCAAGGAAGACACGGTCATCTTCCAAAAGAGAGAACGCGAATGAGGCGTCGCAGACGCGTTCAAAGACATCCAAAAAAAACAGTTATTGAACTACCAAAAGTGAAGCTGAGGATTAAGGTCAAAACTGTAAGTAAGAAACGTGAACTATCTGATGAAGATGGTTCAGATTTTCAAAGTCATCCTGGATCTTCAAAGAAACCAAAGAGAGAAACTAAAGTTTTGAAGAAAGATTAAAAAAAAAAAGCTGTTGTTATAAAAGAATTTCCTTCATTGAAGAATAAATGTTCACCCGGGTCATTGTTGGGTGTTATTCAAGGTTTAAGTAGAGAACATAAGGATTGTGTTAGGGCTATGGGATTTGGGAGTTTGTTAGGGATGGAGATGATTGACGTACCGTTGAAGATTGTTTATTATGTTCTTGATCATTTTAATTTTGAATCTTTGAAGGTGGAGTTTGATAATTGTGAAGTTAGTGTTGATAGTAAGTTTGTTCAAGAGATGTTACGATTACCATCTGGTGGCTCGTTACTTTCAAACATGGATTACATTTCGGAGAATAATGAAGAGAGTTATATGTTTGAGTGGAAGAAACAGTATGAAAATATTGATAAATTGAGATTGAAACAGCTAAAGAATGAACTTGTTCAAACTAGTGTTGCGGATGACAACTTCAGAATCAATTTTTTGGTTCTTTATATTAATATTTTCTGTGAGTCTACAAGCATGGGTAAATGTAATCTGGATCCATTGTATTTAATCAGAAGAGATACTGATTTAAGTAGCATTGATTGGTGTGAAAATATGTTTGTTTTTATAATAAATCATATATGATTTTATTACATATAATCATATATGATTATGTAGTATAGTTTTTGTTTAATTATATATTACACATCAAAATCATATATGATGTTATATATGTTTTTTGTAGTTGTTGTATGTGGATACTTTCAATTTTGATCATTTGCAAGTCACACGTAAACGTCCAACTATTTTTTATTTGACGTCAGAGAAGATAAGGTTTCTTGAGGATATTTTACAAGAGAGTGGAGGATTTGGATGTGGACATGCTAATGAAGCATATGTTGAAGAAGAATTTCAAGAATCTGAGTATAATGAGGAGGAATCTGGTGGTGATGAGGTTGATTCTGATGATGAAGAGGATTTATGTGATGAGGATGAAGAAGATTTTGATGTTAATAAAATTAGTGATGTGGAGGTAATTCTATAGTTTTATTCATTTATGATTTAATTAGTTTATTCATTTATGACTTTTATGTTTAAGTATTTTAGTTGTAAGTATCTTTTTTCTTATGTAGGTGTATGAAAGTAAAATTTCATATATGTATCAAAAGATGGAGGATTTGAAAAGGGATCTTGTTGTAAAGATAGATGAGGGAGTGTTGAAGTTTCCTCAAAGTCAAATTTTGAAAAATTGGAAATTATTATTTCCTGTTAAAGATTTAAGCACAAAAAGTTTTGATTTCCGTTATGTTTCACAAAAATATAAAGAACCGATATTAACACCTGGTTTTGTTCAAGTTAATGATGAAGATTATGGGAATGATTTTCTTAATGATGATGAAAATGTTTAAGATTATGATCAAGGGAAATGTTCTGGTGGTCAGGGGGAAGAAGTGGTCCACATGAGGGTAATATTGGTAAAAATCACGTTGAAGGTAAAGGTGATTATGATGAAGATGATGAACAAGGAAGTGGAAGTGGGTGTAATAAAGAGGAAGACATGAATTTAAATTTTGTTGTCGAAAATGTTACTAAGAGTGTGGGTCTAATTGATAGCCAGGAAGGTGTATCTTTTAGTCAATTTATTTGCGATCCAGTTGTTGAAAGTTTTCTTAAAACTTTGGATCAATGTAGGAATATTTTATTATTATATATAGTTTAATCATATATGATTTTAATTTCTTATATTTGAATTTTATAGGTACTGATGGTTGTTTAAATCATAAACTAGTTGAAGATGATGTGAAAATTGAATTTGACTGGTATTGATGATGGTAAGTATTTATTTATGTATTTTTAATACATAAAATATATATAAATATGTTATATAGATGATTCATTTATGGTTTTAATAATTTAGGGACTGTAAATTTGGGTGAGGATGATCATAAGAATAAAGTAATTTCGGATCGTACTGTTGATAAAATTATTGTAGCAAAGAAGGACGGAGAAGGTGAAGATGTTGAAGATTGTTCAAATAAAAATAAAGATGGAGGTAATTTGTTTATAATTATTGTCTATTCATATATAATTGTGTTTATAATTATTGTTTATTCATATATGATTTTTATAATTTTATTGGGTAGAAAATGTTGAAGATTGTTCAAATAAAAACAAGGATTCAAATGAGACTCGATCATTGAAAAATGATCGTGTTCTAAGTTTTAGTCTTGGATTTAGTCAAGATTCTGAAGGTTCCAAGAAGTCATCTCAGAGTCAAATTTCTTTTGAACGGATGACAAAGAAAAATATTAAGGATAGAGTTATTTTGGGAAACCCAAGTGTTGGTCCAGAGTGTGTTATTCCAAATGTTGATGTTATTGATGCTAGTCCAATTTCTTTTGCACCTCCTTTGGGTACATTAGAAGGACCATCAAAACTTGTTTCTGGCAAACATAATGATATAAATGAAGAAGCAACCTCAGTAGTGGATGTCAAAGGAAAGAGACAAATGAAGTTTTCTTATGTTTATAAGTCGCCATTTAAGGAAAGGTTGATTGATTTTAAACCTAGTTTGACACAAGTAGAAAATGTTGTTTGTGAATGGCTTTTCAGTCTTCAAGGAAATCCAGGGTAACTTTTTTTAATATAATTTTTTATTTTTATAATTATAATTTTTTCTTTTAAATAACATTTAAATAAATATATACAAGGATATTGTATTGCTTATGGAAACAAATGTTATTGGGTTTAGAGCTAATTATGAAAGTTTTTATAAAAAAAACCTATTTGCATGTTAGTGTTCTTGACTCATAGTCTCATATACTAAATTATGAAGAGAAATTCAGAGATGTTGTTAATTCTCCACTCAGATTGTTCACGAATTCTGACACTGTAAGTTTTTATTTTATTTTATTATTGTTAATTATCCACTCAGATTGTTCATGAATTCTGACACTAAAAAATGTCAAAAACGTTAAGAATAATTTTTTTAAAATGTTTTCATTAATAAGAGTTTGGACAAAAAAAACATTAATATTAGATTAAACAAACTTTTTCATTTCCTCCTACTTGTTGGATAGACGTCGGACCACCGCTAGACTAACACCAAATTCAATGGCATTTTCTGGTCGTATTCACAGCTTAATAGAACAAACATTGTAGTTCTCATTTACGTTTTAATAATTTTTAATACATATTGTTTTATTTTTGCAGCCAAATATACGAAATTTTAATAAAAAAATAGATTTTATACCTTGAAAAAATCAATTTTCTCTTTTTTTTTTCTAAATTTTAGACTTATTAAAAAAATTTATCGTGTACAAATTTATTCACAATTTAAAATACCATATTCACAGCTTAATAGTCATTTTAATTCACTAATACACCGTTTAATATTTTCATGCATACATTCATTCATATTTTAACACAAAAACTATATAAAATATACAATTTAATACAGTCTATGTTTAGTTTAATACATAAAAATCACAACATAATACCATTCATTATACATTAATTCACATATTCAAATAAGTCAAACCCGAACTCTACCACCAACTACTACCACTTGCCACCACCAACAATATATGTCACTATCGCAACCATCATTCCTTCAAAATCATAATATATATATATATATATATATATATATATATATATATATATATATATATATATATATATATATATCATTTATTGACCTCTTAAATACTAAATTCACAACTTAATAAACTAATTAATTAGTCGATTCATAGTTTAATGCAAAATAATTATAAAACTAATGCATTCTGACATATTTATACAACACAAAAAATAAATATTTTCATAAGAAATTAATACAAAAATCTTTCATATTTTAACATAATTTCATTAATTATTTACAGCTTAATACAGTCAATTCACATTTTAATACATAAAATTAACAACTTAATATCATAAATTCATAGTCTAATTCACAAAAATTATACAGTCACAACCATATTTTTAACTTAAAACTTACATTCATACGTCATATCTATAGGATAATGTTTTTTTCAAAGTTTATTTACATAAATACTCACAATTTAAATTTTACATATTTTTCAAAATTATATAAAATCATATATGTGTATAATGATTCTTTCATCTTATATCTCTAAATATTATTAAAAGAGAAACCTTATGACATCATCTAAAACAATATGGACCGTTGATTGTGTTTTCTTTATAGGTTTTACACCCTTAGATCAATTGCTTACGTCACCTTGATCAAACAAGAAGTCAACTCGTTATATTAGGAAATTAAATGTAGGAATTGAATGAAAATTATACTTGATTTCTTTCCAAACTTACAACTACAAAATTAGTTCCTTATTAATGTAAACCTTAAATTTAGGCTCTATTTTCATTCAAAATTGATTTCCAAATTATATTGTATGTTCAAATCTCGGAAACTATTAATTTCAAATTTCAAAAGTTTTTGATATTTTTATGAACCACTACACTTTCAAGCATGATATCTTATATTTTAAGTTTAAATGAGATTTCAATTGATTACCTGCTAATTTTCATCATGTTGACTTTTATATATATTTCAAACCTTTTTAACAATCGATTTACACAAACATTATGTCATAATTCTCACATAGAAAACAAATCTCTAAATATTATTAAAAGAGAAACCTTATGACATCATCTAAAACAATCTGGACCATTGATTGTGTTTTCTTTATAGGTTTTACACCCTTAGATCAATTTGCTTACGTCACCTTGATCAAACAAGAAGTCAATCCATTATATTAGGAAATTAAATGTAGGAATTGAATGAAAATGATACTTGAATTCTTTCCAAACTTACAACTACAAAATTGATTCCTTTTTAATGTAAACCTTAAATTTATGCTCTATTTCCATTCAAAATTGTTTTCCAAATACATTATATGTTGAAATCTCGGAAACTATTAATTTCAAATTTCAAAAGTTTCGAATATTTTTATGAACCAATACACTTTCAAGCAT